GGTTAAAATTATCTTTTTATTTTTTTCACAATAAAAATACTTACCCCTAAAATTTAAAAAAAAAATTACATTTAGGGGTTTTTTAGTCTCACTTTTTTAGCATGGTAAAATAACCTAATTAATCTTAAATCCAAAATTTACTAAACTTTCTTTAAGGATAATTTTTAATTTCTTCATCATAGTTTTTTATTGACACCTATGAAGTCATCTAATCACCAAATATCACGTTTCACGATAATATTAGAAAAGTCTCAATACTTTTTTAATGATGGGGTGCTACATACGCCAAACTTATCTCTGGTTTGGTGTCGATCAGCATTAAGAAGCTTTTTAGTCTTTTACTTTTTTATATATATATAGTAAAATTACTTAATTATTCTTAAATGCAAAATTTATTAAATTGTTTTCAAAGAAGTTTTTTATCTTTTTGTCATTGTTTTTTTTGGTTAATATCGAGTTAATTCAAGTTTTTTTATATATATTTTAAAAAGTATTTAATATTTTAAAAAAATTATTGGTGTCTGAAAAGTTATTCAGTCATCAAATATTATTAGAAAAGTCTAAACACTCCCTTCATGATTTTATTATTCAATTTTTTTGGGTTAAAATTATCTTTTTATTTTTTTCACAATAAAAATACTTACCCCTAAAATTTTAAAAAAAAAATTACATTTAGGGGTTTTTTAGTCTCACTTTTTTAGCATGGTAAAATAACCTAATTAATCTTAAATCCAAAATTTACTAAACTTTCTTTAAGGATATTTTTTTAATTTCTTCATCATAGTTTTTTATTGACACCTATGAAGTCATCTAATCACCAAATATCACGTTTCACGATAATATTAGGAAAGTCTCAATGCTTTTTTAACGATGGGGTGCTACATGCGCCAAACTTATCTCTGGTTTGGTGTCGATAATCATTTATTTTTTTTCCTTATTAACCTCACCTCAAATCCCGTGTCAATCCTTTTAATTTTATTTTTGTTAACATATGGTGTATGTCCTTTGGATTACTCTTTCTTTTATTTTGAATAATTTATAAAATTATATTATTGTTTTTTTTTTTTAATTTCACTCATTTTTTTTATCTTTTAAATTTAATTTATATTCTTTCAATTATTATTTGTTTTGTTTGGGATCATTTTTAAACTATTTTTTTATGATCTCATCCTTCTTAGGTTTTTTTTCCTATCAAATTTCATTTACATTCTTTTAATTGTTTTTTTTTCTTTGACAAGTTTTTAAAATTGATGTTTTTTCATGATTTTTTTCTTAATATTAAATTGGTTAGGAATTAAACTTATTAATTGAATTCAAATTCAGAATTTCACAACTTGCCTGTTTTAGAGATTACATCGGGATAAAATATTGCATTTGATGTGAAGATAGTGGATTTTGTTTCTATATACATAATTTGTTTGTTTGTTTATTTATTTATTTGAGAGATGGCGTTGTGATTTTTTAATGTAAAATAAATTATCTTAAGTGGACTTTATATGAATTTGAAAAAAGATATTCATAAATGTGATGAATAAAAGGAAACAAAATATTCACTTGTAATTATTTTTATTATAAAATCGCACCATTTCCATGTTATTAGCATCGTAATATGAATAACTATAATATATTTCATGGTAAATGTTTTATTTAATTATTTCAAATATCATGATTTGATTTGTTTGAAAATTCCATCATAGTTAATGTTTTTAGCTATGAAAATAAGTAAAATTTATTAGATCATTATCTTAACACAAATTAATTAAGAAAAATAATTATTTATCTAGTTTCACTTATATTTTTTTCACATAATTAAAAAAATCAAGATTCTTGAAAAAACTTTAATTATTCGAATCAGTATAGTTTAGTTTAGAAGAATATGTAATTTTTTTAAAAAATGCTATGCATTAATAAGCTTTTTAGTCTTTTACTTTTTTTATATAGAAAAATTAATTAATTATTCTTAAATGCAAAATTTATTAAATTTTTTTCCAAGAGGTTTTTTATTTTTTTGTCATGGTTTTTTTTTGTTAATATCAATTTAACTCAAGTTTTTTTATATATATTTTAATAAATATTTAATATTTTAAAAAACTTATTGGTGTCCGAAGAGTTATTCAGTCATCAAATATTGCTAGAAAAGTCTACACTCCCTTCATGATTTTATTATTTAATTTTTTTGGGTTAAAATTATCTTTTTATTTTTTTTCATAATAAAAAAACTTACCCCTAAAATTTAAAAATAAAAACTTACATTTAGGGGTTTTTTAGTCTCATTTTTTAGCATGGTAAAATGACCTAATTAGTCTTAAATCTAAAATTTACTAAACTTTTTTTAAGAATATTTTTTAATTTTTTCATCATAGTTTTTTATTGGCACCCTTGAAGCCATCTAATCACCAAACATCACGTTTCACGATAATGTTAGGAAAGTCTCAATGCTCCCTTAATGATGGAGTGCTGCATGCACCAAATTTATCTTTGGTTTGGTGTCAATAATCATTTTTTTTTTTATTCGCCTCACCTCAAATCCAGTGTCAACCCTTTTAATTTTATTTTTCTTAACATATGGTGTATGTCCTTTGGAATACTCTCTCTTTTATTTTGAATAATCTATAAAATTATATTATTATTTTTTTAATTTCACTCATTTTCTTCTTTTTTTTTTATCTTTTAAATTTAATTTACATTCTTTCAATTGTTATTTGTTTTGTTTAGGATCATTTTTAAACTATTTTTTTACGATCTCATCCTTCTTAGGTTTTTTTCCTATCAAATTTCATTTCTGTTCTTTTAATTGTTATTTTTTTTTATTTTGACAAATTTTTAAAATTGATATTTTTTCATGATTTCTTTCTTAATATTAAATTGGTTAGGAATTAAATTTCTTAATTGAACTCGAATTCAGAATTTCACGACTTACGTGTTTTAGAGATTACTTCGGGTTTAAAAGATTCACATCGAATTTGCTTGATTTTTTATTTTTATTTGTTTAAACTAAATGTTTTTCATTTTTATTTTTTAATATTTATTTATTTGGAGATTAGATTATGTTCTTTTTATTTATTTGCCTTCTGTTGATATTTTTGTTGGTCTTCAAATAACTTCATCTATCTTGGGTCTTTAATTTGTAGTTCCTTGTTGGGTTTTCCTTTTTTTATTTGATAATTCTTTGAGTTGATTTTTTTATTTTATCTTTTAATATCTGCAAAAAAAAATTAAAATAATTTATAAAATTAAAATTGTTTTTAGTTTCATCCCTCTTTGATTTTTTTAATTGAATTTTCATTCTTTTAATTACTATTTGTTTTATTTGAGGTAAGATTTCAATTATTTTTTTTACAATTTCATTCTTCTTAATTTTTTTCTTTCCTGTCAAATTTAATCTTTATTTTTTTTTATTAGTATTTTTTTCACTTTGAAATATTTTTTAAATTGAAAATTTTTCTAGTTCTATCTTTCAACATTAGATTAGCAGGGAATTGAGTTTCTTGACTAAGTCTAAGTCTACAATTTCATAGGTTTCAAGTTTTAGAGATTAATCTAAATTTAAGAGATTTACCTTTGTTTTTTTTTCTTTTATTCAAACTCGTGTTTTTTAAGTTTAATCTTCCAACATTATTCAATTGGAGACTAGGCTCCATCATTCTTATTTATTTTTTATGTATGATTTTTCACTGATTTTAAAAATAACCTGGGTTTTCTAAAGTATTTTTATTTATTATTTTTTATTATATTTACTTTGGTTAATCGATATAAAATTGGTTGGGAATTAAGTTTTTTTAATTTAATCTAAGTTTAATATTTAATGGGTTTGAATTTAAGATCTTTATCTAGATTTAGAGGTTCGCTCTACCTTACTAGTTTATTTTTATTTATTTTTTTAAGATGATTTTTTTTAACTTCATCATTAAGCATTTATATCAAAGATTAGGCTATGGTTTTTTTTATTTGCTTTCTATATGATTTTTTTGTAATTTTTCAAAATAAATGGGGTTGTCTTAGATCTTTTTATTTGTTGTTTTTTGTTGGATTTACATTGGCAAGTTTTCTAAATTGACTTTTTTTCTAATTTTATCATTCAACAACAAAAAAATATTTTAAATTTTTTTTGACATCAACGTCTCAAAATGATTTAAAAACACTAAAAAAATATTAATTTGAAGTAAAGAAAACAATAAAAAAAATTAATTTTTTTAAAAAGTATTTTTGAAACGCAAAAATAACATTTGTTAGGAATTAATTTCTTCTTCGACTGAATCATTCAAGATTGAGTGTTTTTTATACTAGGCTTTATGATTTTTTTTAATTTTTTTTTTATTCATTTATCTCAATACCACTTAGCCAACAGATTTTGTGGGTTGGCTCAAATTTTTTTAGGATCACTCTTTTTAAATTTAAGTTGTTTTAGAATTGAGCTATGTGATGTTTTCTGATTTCTATTTTATTGTATCATTCGCTTGACCATGATTGAAAAGCTTGGTGTGCTTTGATTTTTTTTATTTGTTTTATTGATTCTCTTTTGAATTCCATCTTTTGAAGCTGAATTTGTTTGATATTCGACTTTAGATTTTTTTTATTTATTTATCTTGATCTCATGGCTTGTATACGCGACATGCTACGTTAGGCTGACCTGGATTATTTTTTTTTCCAATATTTAACTAGTTATAATCTTAAGTTAATTGCTTTTTTTAGTTATTTTTTGATCACATATTCCTGTTATTCTTCTTCTTTTAAGTTGATTCATAGATCAACCTTTTTTACATGACAAGTCTTTGCCCTGAGTTGTACTATTTCAAGGCATACTTGAGTTAACTAGACATTTTTTTCTACTTATAAAAAAAAAGTTTTGGCCGTTTGCATAGCCCAGACCTTTAAATCTAGTTAAATACAAAAAGCCAATATCTACAAAAAATTATTAAAATAAAAAAATCAATAATAATCATTGAAAGGACTGCAGAAATTTGTCATTTCTCTCTCTCGTCTCCTTTGATGATTCTTCCATAATTCAGCAATAAATTTGGAATTAAAAAAACATTTAATGAAAGTAAATTCGTAACACTCTATTTTTATAGTTATATAGATGCATATTTTATTGCATGATTATGTTGTTTGTTCATTGTTGTCTTAAGTTTTTACTCTAATTTTAGCAATTAAACTAATTAACTTACATGAAGCCCATCTAATTACATTAACCAACCCCCGGCCCAATAGCATATCATCCTTCAGTAATTGGCAAAAGAGAAACAAAGAAAAGGCACAATTTCTTCATCTAAAATGCCGAGAGAGACGAGTCCAGGCTTGAAGATCCTCTGGTTATGGACCATCGGCACCGCCGGCAGTAAGATCACCACCTAGAAAAACCCATTTCCTCTATTTTTCTCTATCCTCCTATATATGAATTCATTTATTGATTTTTATTGTTGCAGTTTTGGTTACAAATGTGGTAAGGACCAGGCTAAAAGACATGGAGCAGATGATGAACTCTGACCACCACCAGCAGCAGCAGCAGGAAGAGCATCAAAGCAGTCTAAGTGATCCAGTCTTATTGGACCATGACGAGGGAGTCATTGAAGAAGTGAAACCGTAGGCTTAGCAGCTAGTAAACTAGTGTCAGCTATGTGTTTGTTTAATGTCTCGAAAGAATATGGGAGCCCAGTACTTTCGTTGTCTATTTGTTGAACTTGACTGACTATAATTGAGACCAAATAATTAGGCGTGACTCTCCAATGTGTTTGCTGAATGTTTTGAAATGGAATATCCTCCTGCTAGCGAATTGAATTTTGTTTTGAGTAAAATCACTGTGCATAAAATAATGTGAGGAATGCAAGATTCTCTAGCCTTGTAAAAATCATGGTTTGGGAAAGTGTTGCTTGGAAGGTAAAACTGAACCCCATAATGTTTAGTTTCGTTAGAATTTGGTTGAGGTTTGGTGCTTCTGTAAGTTGTATCAGGTTAAATCAAGCATTAAGCTGCATCAGACAATATTAGTTGTTAAGGGTACTTTGGATTACCTCTGATAGTTGAATATGTCTGGATGGGCTGGGCAGGCTGAATAGAAGACTGGCACTGTGTAATTCCTGCAGGAGGTTGAAGTTGGTTCTGCAACGAATGGTCTGGTAGCGTATATGGTTGCATTGCTAACCTTGCTGTGATGTGTATTTCTTCTTCCTTCGGCTTTTTTGGCCCATGCCAAAGGGTCAAATAAATGATATCCATGGCTGAAAGGAAAAATTGCGAGGAAACAACCAAGGAAGAGTGTCTTCATGCACTAAGAGTTTGCAAACAGGTTCGGGGCTTCCTGCTTCCCAGCCAAAATGAACCCGACTCCTTCGCTGTAAATTGTTTAATGTGGCTGATGAGGAACTTAAAGGCAGAAGGTGATGAGGACTATTTTGAGTTCGACCACTTCTGTTTGGTATCATTATTAATCTGGGAATCATGGTAATGGTGGAATACTGTAGTTTTTTTTTTTTTTTTTTTTTTTGGGGGGGGGGGGGTGATGCGGCACATGCACATGAAGCTGCAAACAAATAGAAAATTGGGCAAGCAGCATAAGGTGAAGCTGAGGCTTGAAACAGCTTTCGCATGTTTAAATGTCATTAATACATGATGATGCGATTGTAATTAATTTCACAAATATTTATTAACAGTAACCCTAAATCCTATTACTCGCTTAAATTTTCACACTGCTGCAGATTTCTACCAAACAATCCAGCCCAGAAAACCAGAGGTACGACAATATTTGATAATTTTATCCGTACTGGCAAAAATATAAGTCCGGATTACCTTAATTATCATCCTAATTACTCTACTAATAACTAAAAATATTAAACAGAAAAACTCCATAATGACATTTCAGTGTCATTATTTTCCATGTTATCCAAACTATCCCCACCGGAATAACCACAATAATTAGGTGGCGGCAATAACATCCCTTCTGCAATATTAGCCAACAAACCTGGCATTCCAAAATCTGCATCATCATCCATATAAAACACATCCCCCGCCGCCGTCCCTGCAACCTGATCAACCTCATCTCCCGCCCTCGTTAACTCAACTCCCAGACTCCCCTCCGGCCGGAAAGCCTCCGCTGCCTCCGCTGCAGCCTTCTGAATATCCTTAGCATCGCTGGAAGCCGGAGTAGGCAACCTCCAGGCAGAATCAGCAAAATTCAAGCAAGCAGACCTTCCCCTCAACGCCAAAGCAGCAACATCATGTGCCCTAGCAGCCATATCAGCAGTAGGAAAAGTCCCTAACCAAATCCTTGATTTCTTATTAGGCTCTCTAACTTCACAAACCCACTTACCCGAATTCCTCCTCCTCACCCCTCTATACACAGGATGCCTTGTTTCCCTAAACTTCTTTCTTCCTGCCCTCTTCTTCGGATTCCTGGAAGCTAATATTACTTCCTCATCAGAAAAAATTGCACCTGGTTGAACTCCTTTAGTAACACTACTAGTGATGCTACTATCTGAAAGAACAGAAGAATAAGAACATTCTTGCTCGTCATGAACTGACATCAAATTCATTGACCCAATTGGGTTCTGATCAGAATAACTACAGAAAACATCCATAAAGTAATGTTTCTTGAGTTCTTTTATTGGAAACTAAAACACTCTAGTGAAGTATTGTATATGCTCTAGCTGAGAACTCCTTTCTCACACTAAGTTAGTAGTTAGTGCTAGACTGGGGCTCCCTTATATATGTTATGGTGGAAGGGCAATAAGGGGGTGTGCCTTTCACACGGCAATGTGGTTATAAGGAGCCAGCTAAGGTCGCCACGATTTACGCATAGATTTTGAATTTTTTTTTTACATATGGAATAATCTAAAGTGGGACTGAGTCTTGCTTCGGCAAAGACCAGCTGTATTTGGTATGGAGACAAGTGGGTTCTCGGAGGGACACGTGTGATTTTGACCCTTTGGGGTGTGTTTTGGATTGTAATTTTCCACTTGAGGGAATGAACCTGTGGCTGTCAGAGTCGAAGGACTTGGTCTCGTGGGTTGGCTTCAGGTTGGGGAGCTCAGTGTTACTGTTTTAGAAGTTTCAAGCCACAAGATATTTTCCATGGTTGCGTTTGTCTTTTTCAAGCTAAAAGACATTATTATTATTATTATTTTATTTTGCTTAAACCGTAATTCTTATTGCGTGGATAAACATGGTCTTAATCGTTGTCAGGGAACTTGTAATAAATATGTAGCTTGATGATGCTTTTATATGAGCTGGAAGGATGTTATATGAAAAAAATACAGACAGATGTATCACATAATCATCTCAGCTGTGACGGTGAGATTAGTGTTCTTGTTATCAATTTTTTTAAAAAAATAAAATTGATACTTTAATTTATATGTTTGTCAGATAAGAGCTTTAAATAAAGTTTTTTTTAGCTATGTAATAAAAAAATATTTATTTATAATCGAGGTTTTTAAAAATAAATTTATGAAAATACACCATACAAATAATAGATTTAATAGTTGTATATTATACAATAATATATCACCGGTACAGTTTTGTTATTGTATTAAAATAGAATATACAGAGACAATCGGGTTACACCTAAATTAAGGTAGAGTTTTTTTATTGTATTAAAATAGAACAGTTGAAAATAATTGAGATACACTATGTGTTTTTTTAAATAAAAATTTATTTTAATTTTTTTATAAATTTAAATTTATTTTATATCTATATTAATTATTCCCATCATCAAATATTTTTCTATATATATTGCCGTCGCTCCTATCAAATGCATTTATGTCATTCATGTATCTATCTCTTCTAGATTTTTAACTCTATCTATGTTATTATAAATGGAATCTGATGAAAATATCCAAAGATTAATTAAGGCTTGAAAAAATCGTTACTCCAGGCGAGTAATTGGCGAGTGGAGACCGTCAAGAAGTTTCTTAGAAACCACACGAGCAGACAAAGAGAGAGCGATGAGGTGGCAAGTGGCATTTGCATGTGGATAAGAAGCAAGAGTGTCCTCCCCATAATGACGTCACACAGATCCCACAACACGGTTCGTTATTTTACAGTTAACCGGTGGCTTTCCCGCGTAAACGTGTGGACCACGTGCGTTTTATTGTACACTGCTCCGGTGCTCCCCCCCGCATTTGTCCTTTTCCACCCTGCTCTTCTCTCTTCTTGTACCAGCAGGGTCGTGACTCAGTAGCTGTTGGGACTGCTTACCTTTCTTTGAACCTCAGTTCAGTTATAATAGGAGAGATAAATTGTTTCTTTTATATTTTTATTGGATCCTTTCTGTGCAGTATGTTTGTCACCCCTATGATGTCTTACCTGTTCATTGGGCTTGCAGGATATTGAGATACGCGCTATTTTTTTAAAAAAATAAAAATTTATTTTAATTTTTTTATAAATTTAAATTTATTTTATATCTATATTAATTATTCCCATCATCAAATATTTTTCTATATATATTGCCGTCGCTCCTATCAAATGCATTTATGTCATTCATGTATTTATCTCTTCTAGATTTTTAACTCTATCTATGTTATTATAAATGGAATCTGATGAAAATATCCAAAGATTAATTAAGGCTTGAAAAAATCCAGGCGAGTAATTGGCGAGTGGAGACCGTCAAGAAGTTTCTTAGAAACCACACGATCAGACAAAGAGAGAGCGATGAGGTGGCAAGTGGCATTTGCATGTGGATAAGAAGCAAGAGTGTCCTCCCCATAATGACGTCACACAGATCCCACAACACGGTTCGTTATTTTACAGTTAACCGGTGGCTTTCCCGCGTAAACGTGTGGACCACGTGCGTTTTATTGTACACTGCTCCGGTGCTCCCCCCGCATTTGTCCTTTTCCACCCTGCTCTTCTCTCTTCTTGTACCAGCAGTGTCGTGACTCAGTAGCTGTTGGGACTGCTTACCTTTCTTTGAATCTCAGTTTGAGTCCTAATAAGAGAGATAAATTGTTTTTTTCATGTTTTTATTGGATCCTTTCTGTATAGTATATCTATCATCTCCATAATATCTTACTTATTTATTGGGTTTGCAGGATGTTCAGTGGACCGTGGGATTAGTTGTGGTGCGCGCAAGCTGACCCGGACAACCACGTTAATAAAAAAAAAAAATTAAAAACTGAAAATTGCAGTATATTTATAAAAGAGACACATATATTGTATTTATGAAATTTAATATTCTATTAAAAAATAAAAAAGGTTAATATTTTTAATCCTAGATGTGTATTAATTGTAAATACATGCTAAATTTTATTGAATATTAAAAAAATATAACATAACACATGTGTTGTGTTGATCTTATTTTTACAGTTTATTTTAATTTTTATTTATAATTTTTTTTGAAAGTGATGAAAATAAAATAAAAAACTTAATTTATTTTTATTTGAGTTTTATTGGATTTAAATTTATTTAGCAAAATAATTTTTTTATTCATCATTAATAGAAAAGTGAATATATTTTTATGGCCACGTTCTTACCTTTATTATCCATAATTTAAGAAATGCCAAATATATATTATTTTTAAGTTTATTTTCGCAATCCAATTAAATAATGTTTTATTATGATGTTATTGGATCTTGGAAAAAAAATATATGGTGCCCTTAAAATAACTAATGATATTTTATAAAAAAAAAGAAGAAGAAAATTCATGACCTACTAAATTTTAGCGATAAAAAATTGTTATTTTCTTCCTATATTTAGATTAATATTTTTCTTCAAATTAGATCCTTAAGAGTGATTATTAGTATGATATTGGTTATTTTTTAAACAGTATAGAATTAATTTCTCGACATTAA